GTATGGCCTGAGTTTTCTGGCTGAAGTGACAATGGCATAAGCCAATTTTTTTATACCGTTATAGTTAACTTCAAGCCTTATCAATATTTTGCTTACAAAATAGATCGATCGTTAATTTTTTTTAGACTAAGATAGTACTGATAGCTTGATCTGTGCTAGCCAAGTATAAGTATCATATTTCACCGATCCTCAATTTAGATAGGACAGAATGAAAGGATAAGAACTTTTTAAGTTCATTCAAAACTTTTTGGCATTGGGAAGTCCACTCAAAGTTAGAGACATTTTTAAAAATTTTAAAGAATAGTAGACATCGTTATGTTGATATAGACATGAATCGATTGAGCACGACTATTTTACCTGTTAACCTCTATACTTTTTTTATCGAGGTTGGTGCCTTCATTTTTAAGATCGCCTGAACCTTTATAGAGTTTACTTCTATCCCTTTTTGGTTGATCATGTAACTGAAAAACTTGCTTGATGTAACTCCAAAAGCACATTTGCTTAGGTTAAGTCTTATGTTATACTTTCTCAAAGTGTTAAAAGTTTCTCTGAGGTCCTTCAAATGCTCGATCAAACTCTTACTCTTGATGATCATGTCATCTACATATACCTCTATATTATGGTTAATATGATCTTTAAATGCCTTGTTCACCAATCTTTGGTATGTCACCCTTGTATTTTTCAATCCGAAAGGCATGATCTTATAACAGTAAAGGCTTTTCTCAGTAATAAAAGCTATTTTATCCTCATTTTCTTTTAATATTTTCATTTGATTGTAGCCATAATAGGTATTTATGAAGCTAAGAAGGTCATACTTGGTACTATCATCTACTAGTCGATCTATGTTAGGAAAAATAAAGCTATTTTTTGGATAATTATTATTCAGGTAAGTAAAGTCCACACATATTCTCTATTTTTTGTTATGTTTTTTTATAATAACCACTTTGGCTATCCATTTATGGCAATAGACCTCCCTTATAAAGTCAACTCATAATAATTTATCAAATTTTTTCTTAATTATCTATTATCTTTTGAAGATAATTTTTTTTTTACCAAACTGGTTTGACCTCTAAATTAGCTTGTAATCTATGGACTATCACTTTGATATCAATTTTGGGCATATCAAACATTGTCCAAGCAAATGGGTTGACATTGTCTTTTATGAGTTAAATTAGTTGGTCCTTATGTTGGAGCTTGGTTTCGATTTGAATGTATTTTTAATGAATGCTATTTCAGAACGAAATTATCATGAGGTCCTCAGTCGATTTGGGTCAATTTGTGTCTGAGTTTGATCTTTGGTTGATTATCTCTTTTTATTCCATTAGGTCGAATTATTTTTTATAAAAATAGATCTTGACATGATGATTAGTATATTGAACAACTTGTTGAACATATTACTAGAAGTGAAGTACATTCTTCATTTAATGCTATGTTTTGGCCAGTATATTAGCTTGATCCAAGTAACATCAAATTTTTCACACCAACTTAAGAGCAAAGTCTTTTCTACTTTTGCCTTAAAAATTTCAAGAAATAAAACAAAATTAAAAATTTTCAAAACTTAAGAGCTTAAAACAGCTTAAGAGTGCACTTCTCTCAGGTCGATCTTATATTTTGTGCTTTTATTGATAGTTTTTTATTTCTTATTAATTTTTATGTTGGTTTCTCTTTACTTTCAACCTCGGTATTGATTGAGATACCTATTTGCTTCCTAGTTCTATCTTTTATTATTGTGATATACCATTGCCATGTCGTGAACTAGTCTTTTCAAACTTTTTAAACCCCTACAGGTATTAGGAATATCACTTTCAAATGGGAAACTAAGTTTATAAGCTGCATAACAGACTGGCCAAGTTGGCCTAATATCATGTTATAGGTAAATAAGACATCTACTACCATAAATTCTATAATCGAAGTGATTGTCTTTGGTTCAATCTCTAAGGAGATCAGAAGCTTGATAATTTTTTTTATGAGCACCTGTTCATTTTTAAACCCTACTAATGTGGTGGTAATTGGCTTCAACTGATCTTCATCAATCCTTACTTTTTAAAAATAGTCATAATACATAACATCGATCAAACTGCCATTATTATATAGGATTTTTTTGATCACATAGTTGTACACCAAGGTTGTAATCACTATGGCATCATCGTGTGGGTGTTGGATTCCTTCTAAATCTTTTGAGCTAAATGAAATTGGCTCATCTCTCTAGTTTTTTTTTTATCGAGGTATCTACTACCATTATCATGCCCTGATTACACTTTTTTTTACCAAGGTTAAGCTATTTCTTGTGATCACGTTAATCACTTCGGTGATTGACTCGTTATTATTAGCTCGACCCTCTTCTTGATTCGACTATTTTTCTTAAGCATTTTTTTTCTTTGATCTGTTCTTCCCTTTTTACCCTAAGTGAGTGCACTGTGGTTATGTTTATAGTCCCTTCTAAATTGGTCTTGTCTTTTTCATCCCATGAATCTCTTCAACTAACTTCGCCTTATCAATGCTTCAATATCATTTTTAGGTTAACACAGTTTTCAGTATTATGGTCGATATCTTTATGAAAGGTATAATTTTTTGTTAAATCATACCTTGTGTTCTATTTTAGTGGCTTAGGCCATCTGAGGTAGGGATTTCTTTCGATTTGCATTAGAATCTTTTCATGAAAGGTATTTAATACAATAAAGCTTCTTTCTATACTAGAGCTTCTGGCCCTATGTTATCTCTCTTTTGGAAGAGAGTTGTAGAATTTTTTTATCTTTTTTATGGACCAAAGAAGAGGGATAAGCCTCTCTCACCTTCATTTATTTTCATTGTAGCTTCAACATTTATATATTTATCTACTATTAGCAAGATGTTAATTAGAATTTTTAGTGGTTCTAGCAATAATGTCAGTTTTAAATGGTACTCTTTATCATGGAGTCCACTTATCAATGTGGCAATATCAGTCATCTAGTCTAAGTTTTTAACTTATAAAGCTTTCACGTTAAAATGCATGACATAACTTTTAAAAGTTTTGTTCCATCCTTGATGAATTGACATCAAGCTTAGGGTTATTTTCTTTGCTCTTCGGTTACTCACAAATTTAGATAGGAATGAGCGACTGAGTTTCTTAAATGTAGTGATTAAACCTCAACTATAGACTGCTATACTAAGATCGAATTATGCCTTTCAATGTAGTGGCTAAACCTTTGTACATTAGAGCCCCGTCTACCTCATATATCATCATATTAGTTTTATAAAGTTTTAAATGATCAAATGGATCAAAAGTACCATTATATGTCTCCAAGGTTGGTATTTTAAATCCTTTGGGAGGCATGGCTTTGCCAATCTCTTCAGTAAAAGGTGAGGTCTCTAGGAACTTGAGCTTATCCTCAAATGCCATTACTTTCATTTTTAGCTCTTTCTCCATGGCTTGTATTCGAGCTTTCAAATCTTTATTCGGTTAAAGTTCATGGTTTGTTTATTTGAATTTTTGAGTTATGGTATGTGTGAAATTGTGGCTTGGGCGGTGATGAGTTAGGTTTATGTATTCTTCTTCTTTAGAGGTCGAAAAGGCTTTTACCTCTTTGTAGCTTGGTTGTTCGACAGAGAACTTCTCAGTTATGTGTGACTAAGTCTGGCATTTTTTAGACTTATGATGGGGTTATGGTTTACAACATCTATTTGAGAGCTTGTATTTGTTTTGTCTAGGCTTGATATTATTCCATGGTAGGTCCCGCCTATGGTTGAGCTAGGTGGACAAAATGCTAGCTTATGTGAGTTTTTGTTCCAGTTAAGGTGGTTGCTTTTTCTTCCTCTTGGGTTCTTTTTCTTGGTGGCATTGTTTTGTGCTCGGTTAATATGAAATATTCTCCTACCTAACGCGCCGAATGTTGGTGTCAAGCTCCAACTTAAGGGTATTCTTGTAAATGTAAAAGAGAAAAACGATTAGAGGTAAAGATAGGGGGTGTTTTCTACGTTTGTACTTCGACACATAAGTAAGTGAAGATCAAGTCGAAAAGAAAGTGAGAAAGTAAGAAAAAGAGAGAAATAAATAGGATGAACCTAGTTTCAGGGTGCTTAAGTCTTTATATTTATAGGTAAGCTGATGAGAACCATAAATGAACAATTAAAATAGAATCGAGCTGATGTGACACTAATCATATCAAATCGACCTAATGTGTCAAGTCAATATAAATAACAAAAATACCTTTGGTTATCTACTAAAGGTTTAGAGAGGGAAAAAATTATTATACCTTTTTTACCATCATATGCCTATTGACAGTAAGAATAAAAACTAGAATACGAGGAATGTGGTGTATTTAATAGAAATAAAAAATTGAGTTTTGAATTTAAAATCTATATAGTATAAAATGGGGTGTAAATAGAATTATCCTTAAATTAAAAGATTATTTTGGTAGAAAGATGAGAAAAATTTTGTGATTAAACTTTTAAAGATTTTATAATTTTTATCGAATTGTAATGTTATTTTATAATTAAAATTTTAATCATAAAATACAAATGTTATACCATGAGAATCTCTTTTATCATATTATTAAATTGAAAATAAAATTATGATCCTTCTCTTTTAAAAGATGATTCTCGTATATCCAGGTTCAATACCTTAATACCTATAACTTGTATATATTTTTAATTCAGATTTGACTTCTTAATAAAATAAATATGAAGACAAAAATAGTAAATGATCAAAATTCTAAAGTTGTGCAATTTAATCCTACATTTAATATTCTTTTGTTTTCTGACCGTAGATGAAAATCACCCAAAAATTTCCTATCAGGGAAAAAATCGACGGCTAAAACCGCATCTAACCAGTCCAACTTTCCGCTCATCAGGTCAACCATCTCATCACACTCTTGTGTTTCTGCTTCTGTGGCAGAATCACAGCCTAACATCAGCATGAACCAACGTACACACAAAAGTACTTTAAAACTACCCAAATTAAAAAAAAAAAGTTTATTGCAAAAAAAAAAAAATAGAGGGCGTGACAAAAACCAGTACGCAACTTCACCGAAAGTAAACCCGGACGCGTTCCCCGTCAAAAAATCGGATTTGATAATCTGCGATACGTCCGGTCAAGTTTGTAATTTCTTTGAAAGAATTGGTTCTTCCGCTTTGGTCTCTTTGGTCAAAAAAGAAAAAAAAAAAAAGGACAAAGAGAAACCGACGTCGGCGTCCTCTATACTCTGAGTCCTATTTCCTGGATTTCTCATCCATTCATCAAATTTTCCTTTTTACTTTTCCTTTTTATTTGTAATCAGAAAAATCGTAAGTTCCTTTAATTTGATTATTTGATTATCTCTTTCTTTGAGGATTAATTAATTAATTAATTAAAATTCGTTAACGCGGTTTTATTTTGGTTTTGTTGATTAGATAGATTGGTAATATTTGAGCGTTTAGGGTTCTGATAACTGGTTTTTGCTTCGCTACAGAGTGTAAACTGAATATGGATTTGGAGGCCAGTTGCAAGGTACTTTTATTTTTTTTAAAATAATTTAGCTTTTTTTTCCCCTATTTTGAGTAGCCCCAGTAATTTTTTCCTCTAAAAAAATGGTATGTAATTATATAAGACTTAGCTGTTGAATATTGTCAGAGAGTAGAATTTTTTTACATCCCTTGAATTATTTTTTATCAAATTCAATTGACTATGCTAACGGTTTTTCGTGATATTTTAATTTAATTGAATTGTTGGATAGCTGGTAAGCCATTAGATAAGGGGTATCGACTGCTGAACTTAGTTTCGGTAATGGGGATTTCCTCTTGTTGCAACATATAGTGTAGCTTAAGTGGTTTTAAGTTGTGAGTAAGCTTATTATGGATGCTTTTTTTTTTTTTAGTTCTTTTGTTTGGTGGAATTTGTATTAGCTGTGATCCTGTGACTGCGAATAAAGGACATTTTAACTGCCTTCTCTAACTATCATACAGCCACTTTCAATCATGGCATTTTTTTATTTATCAATGTTGTATCTTGTTAATTAGAGTATCAGGCCAACCACTTAAGCTGTATTTTAGTAGATAAAATTATGTTTTCAGTTGCTTCTCGTTATGGTTGATGCTAATATATTGACGCTTTTTTATTTCAATCTGTTTGTGGAGGGCTTATTCAAATATCATATTCCTATTGTAGGATAAATTGACACACTTTCGAATAAAAGAACTCAAGGATGTTCTCACTCAATTGGGTCTTTCAAAGCAGGGGAAGAAGCAGGTTAGGGGCTTCAGATAATTCACTGTATTTTACTTAGTTTCATTTTCTTGTATGATTATTAGGGAATGTCTTTGTTGAGTCTTAACTTCATAGCAGCTGTATGGTCTTGTTCTTATTATCCTGATTTCATGGTTCCCCCAGTTTTTCCTTTCTGCATTTTTCTCTGTATAAAGCTAGTAATTATTTTAACTTTTAGTGTTGTTTAACGAGCTCACATTATTTGACCAACAAAAAGGATAGGTGGTAGGTGGAGTTTTACTTTTTTCTCATTTTTAGTTCATGAACAAGTTTTTGTTTCTACTTTTAGTATATTGAGTGTGCAGAGGTGAACCATGAATTTTTATCTGTTTGCTTGTGAGGTGGTTGGAATTGAGCTGTGTGGCTTCTAAATCTGTTAAATTATTTGATGGCAGATTTAGCAAATTTAACAGCCTTAAACTTTTGAGGACTATGATGATTGTTTTTCTGTCAGTTGTATGCGTTTTTATTATAACTTGCACCTTCATGGTGTAGGATTGTATTTGACCTTTCTGTAAATTTCATTTATAGGACCTTGTTGAGAGGATATTAGGTGCTCTTTCTGATGAACAAGGTAAAATATTTCTTCCCAGCTTTCTCTCTCTTGTTCTAGTAACTACCAGAGTGATTAATGGATTCTAACATCTTTTAAATATTTATTCTTTTTGGTATTACTATGCTAGCCTGAGACAGGCTGTTAAGAGTGCTAGTATTAAGCTGTTGATAAGCTTGTGTCTGCAATGCACTCAGAGTCATATTGTTGAATGTGAAATAATAATGTTTATTATTAGAAATGTTATAAAAAGTTTTTTTCTGCCTAATTTTGCTTTAGGTTTTCTGGATCACAGAGACTGTAGGTTTTAACTATTTTATCCATTAATTTCTTTATAATTTGTTGATGCTTCCAATGGCTCTCTGTAAATTTTGTTTGTTCTATGAGTGCAGTGTTTTGGTGAGGAAAGGGAGGGAAAGGGTTACATACAAGTATGCTTGAAAGTAGAATTGTACCATTTCCTGAATTATTAGTATCACTAAACTCTAGATAGTTCAAATTTTGCTTTGAAATCTGTTTATTCTGTTCAGAAACTACTCATCTTAGCCTTTATAATAAGGTTGTTTTTACTTGCTGTTTCCTAGTTGCAAAGATGTGGGCAAAGAGGACTCCTGTGGGAAAGGAACAGATAGCAAAACTTGTTGATGACACATATAGGTTTGTCTTTCCATTTATGATTTAAGTTTATTGAAGATTTAGATGGTAATATTTGCCATGGGGTTAGTTTCTTTTTCTTTTGAACTAGGTATATTTACCATTGAGATATGACGATGCTGGCCAATTGGGTCTAGTATCTATCCACTTGTGATTATTATATCCTTTCTAGTACCTGTATTTCCTCTCTCCAAAGTGTATTTCTTTTATTTTCTGTGTTTTGATTTCTCTAAAATGTCTTTCTTGTCCTCAGGAAGATGCAGGTTTCTGGAGCCACTGAATTGGCATCGAAGGGACAGGGCGTGTCAGACAGCAGTAATGTTAAAATTAAAGGGGAAATAGATGATTCCTTTCAATCAGATATAAAAGTTTGTTGTCCCTGTGGAAGTCCATTGGAGACTGAGAACATTGTCAAGGTAATGATAGTAATGTTTTTTTCCTCATTATTGCCTGTTAATGATGATGTGATGTCACAAACATGCGATTGGAATACTGGGGTGGCTGTACCTATTTAAGATCAATTTCATGTTGCTTTATCATGGCTCTTCAAGTCTGGGATTGCATTTTCATGATTTGAAATGATACGTTATGCTCGATTTTCATAACACTTCTGCATTTTGCTGGTATCATCTTATGATTTAGATTTTTTGGTCCTTTGACTTGTGTAATTAGATGCAAAGTCTTCATCAGTAATTTTTTGTAATTCTTTAGGCTTTGAGGTCATAATGAATCTGGTAACTGTTCGACTGGTTATGGGAAAACTGTCTTTGTAGAAATTGTAAATAGGTCTGAGGCTATAAAAAGATATAAATAGATAGATTAGGATAGCATTTTTGAATTTGCCAGGAAACACTGACTTTGAATAAGAGTGTATATATTCAAGTACGTTAGGCTTTCTCCTGGATTTTCTTCTTGCCCCTAAGTATATGATGGAACATTTCATCTTCCTATGTTGATATTTACCCTAGAACAGAAATAGACATCTTTCCTAGTGGCCTTCTGCTACAATAGGTATCTTCTAATGCAGCCTTCTATATTTCTTTTCTTTCATATGAATCTTGCCCTGATGAAATTATATGAGTTACATTGCTTTTGAATCTTGTTTTATTGCTGCATTTTTTAGTGATTCATACTATAATGATATCAAGGTATCATATGTTGTAATCAAAACATATTATCATTTCTGTTCTTAGTTCTGGTTCCTATGATATACACTTCTCCATTTTGATAAGAGATACATGGATTCTGAAGACATCCGCTTCTTTTTTATCCTTCTCTATAACATTGTGCTTTACTTCTACATTTCTATACTCAAGCTGAATTACTGAATTTTGTGCTCTGCCCTTGTTCTAATGACAGTGTGAGGATCCCAGATGCCAAGTGTGGCAACATATTGGTTGTGTTATAATTCTGGAGAAGCCTATGGAGGGAAATCCGCCAGTTCCTGATTTATTCTATTGTGAGATATGTCGACTAAGCCGCGCTGATCCGTATGTCTCTCTCTTTTTATGTTTGTATGTCTTTGCCTACCTGCTCATCCAGGATGTATGATTATTTCAAATTGATGGTCAAGCTATTTGCCTGTGTATAGTTTGGTTGGTTTCTGAAGTTTAATGTTATGATATGGAAATTTGTGAATATATTTCTTATATTTCACATCTCATTGAATATGTTCCATATTTATGGTTATCTGTGTTGCAATATTAACAGGGCAGGCGTTTGTAGTGCAGTTTGGTTGGATAATGTAATTACTGGTTTAACTTCTTTGATAGTCAGAATGTGTAATTAGGATGCAAGACTTGTAAATATAGACTTGGTTTTGTGCCACCCACTACTAGGCAGAAGAAAGAAAAGAAAAAAGAGATAAGTATGAGAAAATGTACAAAGTAGTTTTTTTTAGTGCACATGAAATTGAAAAGCATATATTTGAAACGATCAAATCAATTTGAATGTGGAATCAAATCCTATATTTTTTGTGGGAAAATGAGGAATATTTCCTTCTTCTTTCTATGATTTTTTATTATTTATTCTGATGTTCTGTACTCTTAACTCATTGAGCTTGCATCTAATCTCTCAGTGAAACCAATTTTAGCAGTGGCTTTATATATTAATAATATAGATTAGGAGAATTGTGATTTAAGGTATATGAAAGACCCTATGATACTTTCATATTAAGGATTCTTTTAAGATCAAAATACTGTTACTTGTAGCTATAGGATATTCAAAAAGTTAGTGCTAAAGTAGGTCTACTACAAATGAAACAGACTATTTATCTAGTAGTTTTATGCTCACTGCGTCCTATATATTTTTTCTGCATTAATAACGATTTCATCATAACTATATTCTGTATTTGCACTGTACTTTGTATTCTCATATGTACCTAGACTCTTTTACTGGACATACCATCTAATGGGTTTCGAAATTCTGTTCAATCTGTTAGACCTTGATTTTAATTGGAAGATTTATTTTCCATTCTTTTAATTCATTATGAGGTTCCCTTCTGCAGTTTTTGGCTTACTATTGCTCACCCTTTATATCCAGTGAAGTTGGCTATTACAAATATCCCACCTGATAGGTGAGTGCGCTATATGAGAAACACTAAAGCTCTTTATTTCCTCCATAAACTTCTTGTTCATTTAGGTGTGAATATCGTCATGTTTATATTTATGCATAATGCTTTATTACTTTGCTTGTATTAGTTTTTTAGTTTAGTAATTCAGATCTGACATTTTACAGTACAAATCCAATGCAAAGTGTGGATAAAACATTCCAAATCACCAGAGCAAACAAGGACTTACTGGCAAAACAGGAGTATGATGTCCAGGTTGGCTAGTGTAAAAAAATGTGTGTGGTTTGATAATGTTCTTTTTGGTTATCTATCGTAATGTTTTTGTTCTTCATCTTGTCAAATAGGCATGGTGCATACTTATGAATGACAAGGTTCCATTCAGGATGCAGTGGCCTCAATATGCAGATTTGCAGGTCAATGGTATGGTTATTAATGTTTTGCTTTGACTACTTTGCAGTTAACGGCTCCTTTTGCTACTGTTTATTGAATTTGTTGTAATTTAGAAGCTTGCTTGGATCTAGCCAAAAGAAAAATGAAGCATGCTTAGCGTTTTTGCCTTTTATTTCTACTAATTGCTGCATCTTTGTTCCCCATTTTGACATTGAATATTTTCAATGAACTCTCCATTTCAGTTTTGGTCAGTAATCATTTTTTGGGTATACAACTGAGCTTTTTAAACAGGTGTACCTGTTCGTGCAATTAATAGACCTGGCTCACAATTGCTTGGGGCTAACGGCCGTGATGATGGTCCAATTGTGAGTTCTGTCCTTCTATAAAAGAGATTAGTTTTGTTTTGTTCTCAATGTATATGTAATCTTATTCTCCATAGATTTTACCTAAACGTGTGTATGCATCTGATTGGAATGGGTGGGAATCTAGCAGGCAGGTTATTGCATGTGTTTTGTAACCCTATTAATGCTTTCTTTTTACCTATTTAAGAAACGGTGTTCTCTAAGCACTTGTTTTATTTCTATTTGTTGTCAGATAACTCCATGTACCAGAGAGGGGATTAATAAGATAACTTTGACTGGATGTGATTCTCGTGTATTCTGTTTTGGAGTTAGAATTGTTCAAAGGCAAACAGTTCAACAGGTATGTTAACAACTTCAAATTTATATGTCGAGATTGACTTTGTGATTTTCCTTACACTGGAATTAGTAGATTGATTGCATTGCTGTCTGATGGGCTTTTGAAATTGAAAATGATTTATGCTCCTTCTTTCAAAGTAAAGAAGCTCTGCTTGTAATAATTTCTATCCAATGCTTGCAAGTTCTGTCATTGATTTTGGCAGCATTGATTCGAATGAGACTAAAGCAGAATAGAATGCACATATATTTAGTGCTGTCATATTTGGCTGTTTTGTTTTCATATATCTGCATTATAGGTTTATTTCTTGTTTCTTGCAAAAATCACTACAGATTAGACTCTCAACCACTTAGTTATAAGTTATCTTACTGGCATTTTTGGTGAAGTGCCTGTCTCAACACGACATTGACGTGGGTATGGGATCCAAGTCAGAATAGACTGGGGAGAATGCCACAACATGATTAAATCGTTGCTCTGAACAAAGCTTTCTTTTCACCTTTCTCTCCCTTTTGCCTTCTTCAATTGCTTCAAAAATCTTCATACCACACAATGAAGAAGAATTAGTTATCATCAATTGAGGAAATTGGGAGGAAAAGAATGTAGAACAAAGAGAGAATGGGGTTTTATCATAGGAAACTTGTGATCATGAAGATTGACTGAAGGAAGAGGTTGGAGCTAGAAAAAATGGAGAGATTACAATATAGGAAGAGGGAATATCTAGAAACAAAGAAGAGAAAAGGGGGAAATACATGAAATTTGGGGCTTTCATATTTAATGATTTGGTTTTAAACTTTTTCATAAAGGGCTAAACTCTTCACATATTTAACATGGCAACTTAGTTTAATTTATCAATTTTTTTTTGTTTGTTTTGGCTCATTTTTTGTACATGCTGTTTGTTTGCCTAGTCTGGGCTCATTGCAATGGCTGAGAATGAAAAAGGCAATCAGATTTCAGCATGAACTTATTTAAATGTTTTGGGCTGGCAAAGGGGTTTTATGATTATGTTTTGTTTCCGAGACCAAAAACCAATAATACGAAATTCTAACTTGAGGTAAAAGATAGTTGAAATACTAACTATAATATTAAGTATCTTTTTACCATAATTTGAACAAATCCCTGCATGTCTATGCAACTGAAGCTTACCTTGCTATATCTGTATTTTTATCATTCTTAATGTTCATTTTATATTTGTGGCCTGGCCTAGATACTTAACATGATTCTTGAGACTGATGGTGAACGTTTTGAAGATGCTCTTGCTCGTGTTTGTCGTTGTGTTGGTGGTGGAACTGCAACAGACAATGGTGATAGTGACAGTGAACTAGAAGTTGTTGCCGATTTTTTTGGAGTCAACCTACGCTGCCCTGTGAGTTAAATGGTTCTGTAAAATGCTAGCAATCTCTTGCCTATATGTCTGGAGCTGTGCACCACTTTTTATGCTAAGAATATTTCATGTTTAATTGATTGGCCATCATTTTTCAAGTATTTAAATAGTTTATCTTGTAAAGCATGCCTCGAAGAGATGGTTATTGTGCTTTGCAAAATTAATGAATCAAATGCTTCAAGTATCACTTGCCTACCAGCATATTGACTTTAAAGCATCAATAGGGGAAGCATATGCGGTTGTCATGCATGGTGGTTGTAGTATTAATGTTGGCTGAGGCTATCATGGATCATCATGAAGGTGTTCTTAGTGTTAAAAAATGCACTTCATCTTACTTCCTGCTGTAAAGCTGCATTATATTTCCTTTCTACTGTTGGAGCCAATATTATAATTGGACAATTTTGTCCAAGTTGATGGTGTGACCTATATGACAGATTTATTAGTCTACATGGACAATATGTGCAGTCATGTGCATGTGCTTTATTCCATAAAGAACTTAACTTTATTGTAGCACCATTCAGGCTCATCTATTTGCGTGCTTATCCTAGGACCTACTAATTTAATAATCTGTCTGTTTTTCCTTTCAATAGTGTGTTTTATGTAGCTTTCTGTAGAATATGCAATTTTTTCTAAGCTGAATGCCACTAAGTCATGTAAGAGGGGATAATTCTGCTACCTCTTCTTTGTTTTCCACAAATATTCAATGCTAATGGGATTTGAATGAATATTTCATTACTGCACCTTTCTTTTGAAATTGCTCTAATTATTTCTGACAGTCATTTTTATGTCTTTTACCTATGATAGATGAGTGGTTCAAGAATGAAGATGGCTGGAAGGTTTAAACCCTGTATTCACATGGGCTGTTTTGATCTTGAAGTTTTTGTGGAGCTGAACCAACGGTCTAGGAAGGCAAGCAACTATAATAATAAGTTTATTGTTATTTGTAATTCTTTTAGGCTTTTGACAAGCATTTGTATTTGATTGCAGTGGCAGTGCCCGGTTTGCCTGAAGAACTACTCGTTGGAGAATGTTATAATTGATCCTTATTTTAATCGCATCACATCCAAGGTGGATAGCGGTTTGGTTTTCCTGTATTTTCTACTTGATATCAATGTGTGATAACTGATAATGATGATTAACTGTGGTACAGATGAGAAATTGTGGAGAAGATATTACCGAGATTGAGGTCAAGCCTGATGGTTCTTGGCGTGCAAAGGCTAAAAGTGAAAATGAGCGTAGAGAACTTGGTGATCTTGCACAATGGCACTCTCCTGATGGTACCCTATGTGGATCTGGCAGTGCTGAAGTTCAGCCAAGGGCTGAAACATCCAAGCAGATCAAACTTGAAGGTGCTTCAGAAGTTCATACTGGTTTGAAACTTGAAATCAGGAAGAATCAAAATGGGTTCTGGGAGGTTAGCAAGCCTGAATTTATGAACACCTCTTCTGGTAATAGATTACAAGAAAGGTTTGAAGATCGTGAGCAAAAAATTATCCCAATGAGCAGCAGTGCCACTGGAAGCGGTAAGGACGGTGAAGATCCTAGTGTAAATGAGGATGGTGGTGGAACTTATGACTTTACAAGCAATGGGATTGAGCTTGATTCCATGCCTCTGAACATAGATTCTGGATTTGAATTTTCTGACCGAAATCCATCTGTACCGGCGGGAAATGCAGAAGTTATTGTTCTTAGTGATTCAGATGAAGAGAATGAAATATTGATATCTTCTGCAAGTGCCTATAAGGATAATGAAAATGATGCTGTTGCAGTTAATTTTCCAGTGGCTCCTGGTATTTCTCATCCATATTCAGAAGATCCAGCTCTTGGGACTGCTGGTAATTTGGATCTTTTTGCCCCTAATGGTGAATTTGACATGCCTTTATGGTCCTTACCTCCAGGAAACCAAGAAGGCTCAGGGTTTCAACTATTTGCTGCAGATACAGATGTCTCAGATGCCTTAGTTGATCTGCAGCATAATCCTCTCAATTGCCCTTCGTCAATGAATGGCTATACATTGGCTCCTGAGACTACAATGGGATCTGCAACTCTAGTCCCTGGTTCTTCCATTGGTCAGACCGATATGGATATAAATGATGACTTGGTTGACAATACCTTGTTTGGCGGAGAAGATCCCTCTCTTCAGATATTTCTTCCGACATGTCCTTCAGGTGCATCAGCGCAGTCTGGTTTGAGAAATCAAGCTGATGTCTCAAATGGCATCCGTACTGATGATTGGATTTCGCTTAGGCTTGGAGGTGGTGCAAGTGGTGGTCATGGGGACTCAGCAACAGTGAATGGATTGAATTCAAGGCAGCAGATACCTTCCAGTGAACGTACTATTGATTCTTTGGCTGACACTGGTTAGTTTCCCTGTTCTTTTTAAGTGCTATAGTGTTGTAACTTATGTTTAAAATTTACCATATCATGGCCAGTGAATAGGAAATGCTTCTAGCTGGTTACATGCAAGGATGTGTTCTTCTTGGACAGTGCTGGTATAATTGTTGAGTTTGATTATTAAGAGATCTGTTCTAGAGTTGTTTAAATATTTAATTGCCAATCTTTTTAGTTACACATTATTTGATACTGGGTTTTCTCTTTTATTTGCAATTTGCACATGAATTTTGTTGCAACTTGCAAGTGACTATTACTAATACTATCAAATTAGAATTTATTTATATTTGGATTCAAATGAAATCCTTTTCGTTCTTATTAATTGAAGTGCAATTAATGATATTTTTTTTGTTCGGGAATAATTTGTTCTTGAATACAGTGAAAATCAAGGTATTTAAAAAAAAAAAAAGAATACACTTTGCAAAATTAATAACTCATATATTGTCAGGTCAAAAATGAAATTACTTCTGTGCAAAATTAAGGAAACATGATGTAGGATATGATCAAAATATCATATATAATAGATATATGATATATTTATAATAAATTAACAGAAGTTCCACTCTTCTTTCCTTAAAAATGCCTATATGTGTGAAATTAGGAAACATTAATTATATGATAAGTATAGTAAAAATAGAACTAAAATATAAATAGTTATAATATTTTTGTACTAACAAACATGAGCCACTTTTATGCTATAATATTTAGTAACCATGTTAATCGTACTTTGGGGTGTCAGATCTGGGTATGTGTACAACATGAGCATGTTCATTTTTCTAAGTTTTTTTATATATTTGGAGGTCAAACCTCTGTGATGTCTGTCATATATGTGTTGGACAGGGTTATTTCGAGGAAAATGAAGAATTGGAACAATATAGATTAGTAAGTGGATATCTTGATTAATGTTTAAGATGGTATTAGTGCGGTGTTTGTTGTGCTAGATCTGGCGTATAAGTTCCTGGAATCATAATTCACTGCATTAGCATTTCATGGCTCCATAATTCTCTTTTTTTTTTTTTTTTTTAATTTCTGGCACTGACTGTTCCTCCTTTGTGCAGCTTCTCTGCTGCTTGGTATGAACGATAGTAGATCTGAGAAGTCAAGTAGGCAAAGATCAGAGAGCCCTTTCTTATTTCCTCGGCAAAAACGTTCTGTAAGGCCAAGATTATATTTTTCTATTGACTCGGACTCTGAGTAATTGGGCTTGTTTGCCTAAAGTTGCTGGCCCTCCCTTATGAATTTTTTGGGAAACACGAGGTATCTCATGAAGAAACTCGGTGATCACTCATGAAGAAAGTTGACTGGTATTTCAGTTAACATGAAATGAAAATTTTCAGAAGGAAAGCCCAGCTGAAGGAAAAAAAAATGGCTGCAAGGGAACCATGCACCGGCCTTGAGCTGGCAGCTGCAGAATTCTTTGTTAAATGGTGAGCCCAAGGCCTTTTATACTAGTTAGTGTTGCCTGCACATTCAATGAAGCTCTACACTTCTAATTCTATGCGTTGTAACAGGATTTTTACAAGCAGTTTTCACCCTCAGTTATTAAGACAGATCAGCATATGCGATTAAATTGTACAGTTAGTGATTTAGTCTGAAAATTGGAGTTGATCCATTGGTTCAAAATCTTTGGGTGCGGTGGGGGACAAGGGTCCCACCATTTTACCGTCTTCACAAGGATATCGAGATCAAATAGTATGTAAATTCTCTCAAATTCAGTTATTTATAGAATTTATTCCTTTTGCCAGACAGATTTCCCTGCCAAGCCATTACTGGTCGATGTTTTTAACTTTCCATAATTAGATTTGTTTGTACTTGCTAAGCTTTTTAATGGCTGAACAGCTTTTATTAAGTGCATGACGTTATTGTCTGGGTTCTTTTTTTATTCTTCTAATCATGAACCGTAAAAGAGGAAAAACAAATTGTGCATTCTCTTAAAGGAGGAGACATATTTGTTCACAGAATGAGTCCATTGTGGCAAAGTTCTCTTTCTATTTTGTGGTATTAACATTATAAATTGGATTAATGTCATGAATGCTTTTTAAATTATAATGAAATAATGAAAACATTTAATGTATTATTTAAATTTAAAAAAATTTTAATATAGTATTTTAACTATGAACATGAATCTGGTAGTAAATATATGATATTCGATGATTAATATTAAATGATGATATTTAATGGGTAAATAATCATTCAAGTATTACATCAGTTAATAAATTTATTATTTAAATTTTTAAAATTTAGGTATTATATTTGTTAATATAATTTAAGGAATATATATATGACATTAAACCTTATAAATTTTGGAAGACTCGAAATGGATGCACAGCCATTTATTCCAAATGAAAGTTGTAAGAGACGGTATCAGTGATCTCATTCCTCATTTGCAAAGACAGCCTCGGAATGCCTGAAGCTGTCACAACCAGGGCAATTGTGCAACCTCCAGTGAATATAAATGTAAGAGGCAGAAGTGCCGTTTGTACTATGGGCACACAACGGAAATGCCAGCTTTGTTTCCTGAGCCAAAACCAGCAAGCATCAGGAAACAGAAAAAAATGTGAAAGAACAATGACACTATTACAAGGTTAAAACAAAACATGATTAGCAATAAGAAAATTTATTACAAGACCAACTGAAAATACATAAATAATCTAGAACATTTAGGCAGATATAGAGAGTTAGAGACCCATAACTTGTCAAAGAAATTTCACTTGACTTTTCTAAGACAATGGTCCCTTGTACCATTAAAAAAAAACAGAATTTAATTTTCCTTTTAAGTCAACCAATTACGTTACTTACTCATACAATAATTTCAAATTGATGATGTTACATCAGTTCAGTTTAACATGGCCAATCAACGGCTGTTGTTGCACTCACCTCATCTAATGCAACACAGACTGTTCCTCCTGTTTCCTGGCAGAGATTTTTGCATATGAACATTTCTGCAGCAAGGCCAATAACTGAGTGCATTTCTGAATGGTCTCCATTATGTCTCCAGGACACAAGTACAGAGTGCAGAATATATATTGAGAACTTCACGGTGACCATATGATGGAATTTGATTCAGATACCCATCTACAAGATCCAATGCATTCTGTATGGAGGAATCACTTGAACAAACCGACTTACTCATCAAAGCTTTTGTATGAGGCTCTGGACTACCAGCAAGATCTGTCAAGCAGTGAGCAACCCCATCTTTTAGTCACAAGGCCAACTTGACTAAGAGGATTCTGGTAAAAAAAACTGCCTGATGAAAACCTCAACATGTTTTGCAATGACAGCAATTCGACTGGGTCGAAAATCCATCTCTGAATCTGCTAAATACAGCAAAACAAACAGCAATCAGTTGATAGTTCATGTAAAGAATCAAGGAATTTTATTATTTTTAACTTCATTACATTACCCTCTGTCATCTGATGGGAAGGCCTAATTCAGCTCCTACCTCCCCAACTTAAAAAAAAAAAAAAAAAGAGAGAGGAAAAATGATAAACTAATTCCAAGGAGCATGCTTCAGCATCGCTTACTTTACGCCTACAATAGAATTTGGGTCCTCAAGTGTAACGCCCCAATCCCATATCAAGAAGATGTGTGGATAAAGAATGATATATATATAGAGATTTAATTTCAATCTTGTGAGACACCTTTTATAGAACAAAACCGTGAGACCTTCGAGTCAAAACGAACAATACTTTGCAGGTTGGGTGCGGATCTCTACAAATGGTATCAGAGCGGTTATCAGTCCGCAGTCGTGGGAGTCACTAAGTGTTACACGATGGTCTGGTGTGATCTTGGTCCTGTGGATAGACTCAGCTTGACAGAGACGTCAAGCATTAAAGGTGGAAAGATTGTAACGCCCCAAATCCCACATCAGGAGGATGTGTGGATAAGGAATGATATATATGTAGAGACTTAATCTCAAACTTGTGAGGCATTTTTTGTGGGACAAAATCGTGAGACTTTCGGGTCAAAGCGGACAATACCTCGCAGGTTGGGTGCGGGTCTCTACAAATTATGAAATATTTGAATGTCACGGACCTAAGAATAAGTCTTGAATCCCACATCGAACATAATAGGAAGGTCACTAGGGTATAAAAGGGTTCACATCACCTCCGTCTTGTGAGACGCCTTTTGTAAAACAAAACTGTGAGGTTAAGGGGGTCAGAGCGGACAATACCTCACAAGGTGTGAACCGTGGTAGGTAGGTTGATCTGGGAAGCCGGAAGGGTGAATGCCCGAGTCTCAGAGTCGCGCGAGTTCGAAGCTTAAGTCTCGACTTGTGACAAGTGGTATCAGAGCCAACTCTAAACCGTTCGATCCACGTCAAGCACCTCGAGGGAGGTAGGTAGGGTGGCCAGCCTCCGTGACGAGGGCGTCACAAAGTTGGGTGCGAGAGAATGTCACGGACCTAAGGATGAGTCATGAATCTCACATCGAACATAATATGAAGGTCACTGGGGTATAAAAGGGTTCACACCACCTCCGCCTTGTGAGGCGCCTTTTGTAGGACAAAACCGTGAGGCTTTCGGATCAAAGCGGACAATACCTCGCAGGTTGGGTGCGGGTCTCTATAAATGGTATCAGAGCAGTCATTAGTCCGCAGTCGTGGGAGTCACTAAGTGCTACACGGTGGAGCCGTGAGAGTCACTAAGTGTTACACAATGGTCTGGTGTGATCTTGGTCCTATAGATGGACTCGTAACGCCCTCAATCCCACATCATGAGAATATGTGGATAAAGAATGATATATATGTAGAGACTTAATCTCAACCTTGTGAGGTGCCTTTTGTAGGACAAAACCGTGAGACCTTTGGGTCAAAGTGGATAATACCTTACAGGTTGAGTGCAGGTCTCTACAAATGGTATCAGAGCGATTACCAATCTGCAGCAAATGGTATTAGAGCGATCACCACAGTGGAGCTCTAGATGGTATTAGAGCGATCACCAGTCCTTAGTTGTGGGAGTCACTAAGTGCTACACAGTGGAGCTGTAGGAGTCACTAAGTGTTACACGATGGTCTGGTGTGATCTTGATCCTATGGATGGACTCAGCTTGACGTGGAGAGATTGTAACGCCCCCAATCCCACATCAGGAGGATGTGTGGATAAAGAATGATATATATATATATATAGAGACTTAATCTCAAACTTATGAGGTCATTTTTGTGGAACAAAATCATGAGACCTTCGGGTTAAAACGGACAATACCTCGCAAGTTGAGTGCGGGTCTCTACATCAAGTGATATCATAAGTTCAACTCTAAGGTTCCAGTTCTCTGAAGAACTTCCAACATATTTCCCAGGAGGTACATTATATCAATTCCATTCTGTTAATAGCCAGGAAGAACAATCAAGTCAAGAAATAGATCGAATTCTATCAAATAAATTTTTATGAGAGAGATATGAAGCAGATGGTAGATTTGTTTTCCAGTGAAGAACTTTGAAACCAAGGTATTGCTTTCAGGATATCAAACTGGCAAATTGCTTAGCGTATACAAGTTATATATGATATCCATGAGAAACTTCAATGAAAAATTCCATAAAAATTCTTCTTAGCTTTTTCTTTCTCCTATGTGAACAAAGAGCAGTGCCCTAGTAATTGGAGTCTAAACATATGATAAAGACAAGCTTTTGATTCAAATATCAATTAATAATCTCGTAGACTTGAGTGGCATGGCATTACTTAAAACCACTTTTTTTTGTACTTGAAGTTGTCAAGATTTGAATCTGATCGCTAGAAGTCTGGCACTGAATGTCCAGCATTCTACCAACAAAAAATACACAGATTATTACTCGTAACAAATGATTACCAAACTCAATTGCTAGAAGCCACCAAAACAAAGCTAGACAACATTGCTTATCTAACTTGATTGTTCTGCTTCAAAATTACATACTCTAGAACAAAATTCCATTCTCTTTATCCAAATAAGAACATATTTAGTCAACATACAAGCAAAATGTTAAAGTGATAATGGGGTGAAAAATGATACCCGGGAAAGATCAATAACAATGATAACGAATGAGGCCCATTTTGTAACAACGATAACAATGATAATGGCGTTTGCCCTCCTTTGAACCAAAAAAAAAAAAAGAATGAGGCCCATTTTGTATCCGAACAGCAGTGGCAGTTGAAGAAAGAGAACGAAGGCGCTGACGGTACTCAGAATGATAAATGGTCTAAGATTTTTATTTTTTAAATTATATATATATATACTTCAAGTTACGAGGATTTAAATTTAATTACAAAACTTAAAAATTCAGCACTTTATCAATAACTCATATGATTGATAGTGACAACAAACCACACGTGACTGTGAAGATAAAGGGCCTTTAAATGCCACAAAGCCGGTTTATAACGATTTTAACTTTGCTCAAATTCATCATGGTTTGATAGTAAATGCCATGAAAAGATGTGCCTCTGTAGTTTTCTTTCTTTTGATGCACAATTTTTTCTCATAACAGCACACGAAGTCAGGCATGCAATAATTTTCTGTATGCAAAATTTCATGACTGCGCTTGAGTTATAATTTGTGCAACCGAAATAGCCATTTGTGTTGTTTTGCAGGTAAAGGATTTATATATATTATTCACATTTTAATTTTTAATATTTTTGCTGCAATAATGCATTAATGAATGAAGTTATAGTATCAACTGATTACAAAGGGCAGACTATCGCACAATTTATAGTATTAAGATGTCCAATCTAGCATCTCTACTACAAGCCAAACTCATTATTAAAATGATTATAAAATGACTGCATTAAATTAAATCTTGGATTCTAGTCAATTGGTAGTTAACCATTTCAGCTATAGGTGTTTAACACATCTTGCTCTTTCTGACAGCGTCAATCTGAGTTGGATTCATCATACATTGAGATGTAATTTCTAATCCAAATTATGATACTCATACTTATCAAATCGTTTGCGTTGGTATTCGACTTTGCTGGCCATACAATGTTTAGGTGGTGATGGACATCTAAATGAGCACACAACAGGCCGTCTTCTTCCAGATGCCAAGCTATATGAAATTAGGGCAGGAATCAGTGAGATCAGAAGAATGGTCATTGGTGGTGAGCTTTTTAAGATCAGTGAGTGAGACTGAAAACTGTCTCTTTAATAATAAAGATTTACTTGCATGTAGACACTACAGAAAACAATTCATAAAAACAATCTATTTCTCATAAATCAGGCAGTGGATCATTTCCACATTTCTGGCTTTGAAATGACCCAAATAAGAGACAACGCATGAATCAGTTTTGGAGATATACAGATTGTTGATGACTACAAAGCACCAGACTTGAATCACTTCAATCGACTTCAATTGTCAATACCATAAGGCCAGAAAGGCCACTTTTAGCCTTCAATATGTTCATTTGATAATGAAAAACACTTAGTAGATAGCTTCAGGATTCAATAAGTTGTGCACACAAAGCAAAAACAATGCAACACGAAAAACAAACACCGATCCTCACACCCTTATTACTGTCGGAGAGGAATCTGGCTGTCCAACTGAAGAAGACTTTGATGCTTCCATTATCACTGGTGCTTGTTCCAAACAGCTTTGAGTATCATCACTGGCCACTCCTATGGTCATCTTCTCCACTTCTTCTTGGGTGTATATGTGGATCTTGGACACCACATCACAGAATTCACTGCAAACAAAAGAAGTGAGGTATGATTAAAAGATCTCACATCTGCAATTACTATTTAATTTTAATTTTAGTTCCTATGGTCATCAGATGTGCATAATTGCCCTCATGCAACAAACTAGATAGTGGATAAGGAGTGTGACACTTACTGCCATGGATCATCTCCAACCACCATTACATCATTCTCACTGTCAGTGTACAAAACCCGCCACCCTTTATTGGGATCGCTTAAAAGGCCTTCCATACTGAATAGACATTCTAGTTCAGTCATCAAGTCATCGTATCCATACAGTCTTGAGAGATCAATAGCTCTTCCAACCAAGCTGCCTTGCTTATGAACCTTCAGTCAGTCAAGTCGGAGTCAGTAGGAGAGGAATATTGAAGTAAAGTTGAATTCAACTATGACCCTAAGGTAGCTTACCTTTGTACAACTCCTCTTACCAGAATTTTGTGAGTTCGGATTAGGTGATTCTGCAGTCAAGGAGAACCCAAAGAGTTTACATCCAACCACATTTCCTTTTAAGCAGTCATCTTGTTGGTTCATCAATTTTTTTCCAAAAGCAGGGCTCGAAATATTCTCCAATGACTTATGCTCATGCAGTTGACTTGGTTTTCTGACCCTGTCCACGATAACCCCCGTCTTAATTGAGGAACCATTGAATGAGACATTGCCTCTTGGAAGTGTAGATGCATAAGAGCTTATTGAAGGATCCTGGCCAGCTTTGTAAATGTCAGTATAAGGAAAATACATATTTCGAAGGCCTTCTGATGCTAGCGGATAGCAATTGGTTTGTGCTTGATGAATGTTGAATGAATTGCAACCAAGATTGGTTTTTGCCCAAACATCAAGGTTGAGATCAGCCTTTGGTGTTAGGGATCTCAATGGGCAAACTTCTTGACCTTGCAAGACCTTCGGAAACCTATTAGACTCCGCAAAGCCTGTGTAAGCAGTGGAGCGAGCCCTCATAAACTCAATAATATTAGTCTTTCCAATTCCTGTTGATGCAAGACTTTGATGTGCCAAAGATCGCATCTCAAAATCTGGAGGGTGATCTACAGTATCACGTCCATATAAGAGTGATACTAAACCTACATTTTCTTGACCTTGCAAGACCTTAGAGGATCTTACCGATTCCTCAAAGTCCAAAAATCCACCCCCTCCTGAAGAAAATAACATTTTAAAGAATGCACACATTAATCAAGTATAAAAATGCAACAACATTACCATTCTAGTGGAAAAATTTGTACCTGTGATGGGGGTGTCTGGTGCGGCAGCCTGCAGACTTGTCCGCAGTTTCTTCAACCTTGGTGAAGATTGAATACTCAAGGGTGGGAGAGAAACTGAAGTATCAATTTCCCAAGGTGACACTCTATCTTGGTGATCACTCACAATATCTTCATCCCACCTAACCTGTTAAATATCATAATAAAGGTCTTACACTAAATAGAGTCATACAAGATCCATTTAATAGCTATGAATTTTCTTCTTCCAAGTATTAACACAAAGAACACAAAGGAGAAAAGAATGTGGATATGTATAAATTTTAAGTGAAGACCTCAATGTTTGATGATAGGAATACTTTAACTTGCATTTGAAAAAAAATAAAATAAAATAAAATCGACCCCAAACATGAGCCAAATTGGATATGCAGAAGAGTTTTTTGCAATGACAGTTACAGAACTCTCAGTATGAACTTGTACAAATGGATTTTTTATCAAACAATTGGAATATAGTTCAATTAAGGCAACTTCCTAGTTGTTTTCTTTCATCAATTATTTGCCATTCTGAAAAATAGATTTATCAGCATACGTATTCTGCATAAAGTATATATGTACACATGTAAAGTACTTTGATAAGCACCACATCTATACACTTGTTCGTGTTGTGATAAATGACTATACATGATAAACTATACAAATAAAAGCACGAGTACACAAGCTAATATACATAACTCACCATTAAGCATCTCCACTTTGAGTTGGGCCATCTATAAGGATCCAAGTCCCTTATTCCAGTCACTACACCACTGTACCTGCACGAAAGTAGCACATATTATATGCTCAAAATAAAACCGTTAACAGGTAAAGGGGAAAAGAAACAAAGAAAGGAATTGATTTTAGTCATGATTTGCAATCAATTAAACAACACCTTCTCTCCGGTGAATCATCCATTTCAAATCTCATTTTAAATCTTGTTCCCATGCATACTGGATTGGTGATGCTTTTAATATACTTTTGGAAGGGTATGACAAACTCTGCATGACTGGCCCTGCATTACAGCAATTTTAACAGGCTTAGCATTTCATTTCACATCAAATGCATCATAGGGCAGGCATTTAAAATAGGTTTAGAAGCTCAGCAACACAAGAACTGAATCACATTCCAGTGTGAGATGATGGAAAGCAAACTTCCAGAACACTCCTAGAATGTAACTTCCTAAAGCTACTTATAATCTAAAGTCTAACATAAGGAGTCACTTCAATCAGTTTGAAATAGCCTCGATATTTTTCGAATGGACCATTCACTGATTGTAATGCTCCTCGTGCTAGTTCAGTACACGTCAGTTTCTCTTCTGATACTTCTTATCAGCATTAAACTTTTCAACCTAATAAAGAACACTATTCATGCTCTGTTTTTTAGTTCATTCTCATACCTCCAGACGCTTCTATATTTTAGATTTTGTTAGGTGAATCCTCTTGAAATGTTGGCCAAAAATAAAATAAAATCTCTAAAGATGACCAGGGAAAATGAATTCTAGGTTTCAAAAAGTTTGCATTATGCTCATTGTTACAGTAGTGACCTAACGAGGCTAAATCATATGAGAACAATACTGGAGAATAGAATATAATGAGCTTTAAAGCAGTTCCATCTGCAGCTTTTCCTCCTAACATCTTTGACTAGTCCCCAACTGTTTTCACCCATTAATGTCAGTAATATACTTTAAATGTAACCAGGTAGTAATGCCAAGGAAAACAACAGCTGCACACATCTTTCTTTCATATTGTCTCATTCATGACTATGTTTTGCAGGAGAGGGGTAGTATTGAGAAAAGGTCAGGCTCCAACCATCTGGAAAATCAATATATAAACTCAAAGTTCAAAGTCATCTAGTTTCTTTTGCCTAGCCTCCAATAAATGATGTTCTTAAAACTTGAGAGAAGAAAAATTATAATCTAGGTCTGCCTCAGGAACATTGGCTAATGATAACAAATCTTGTTAAATGGAATAATAGCATATATAGATGATCAATTCTTTTGAGGTTTACATCTGAGTGTGACTTTGTGAGCAGTAGCACAAGGAACTAACAAAGAAAGAGAGGATTTATATATAGGGATGGACTATAAGATAGTTATCTCCAACACCACTTCCCCCTACTTCGCAACCACTGCATCTGTACTAACCACGAGCAGATCCTTTCATCTAACCCAGATGTCCATGCTTCCCAAGGAGCCATCACCAAAAGTGTCACATCAAACCATCAAAGTCAAATCATTCGCTCTAATACCGTTTGCTGGGAGAAAACATTTGAGGCAAGTGGATCATGACTTGATATATTATGATAAAGCACCATCTTGACCCAACGCTTAAGCTGTCTGCTCATGGATCCATCCCTATTGTAATTCCTATATTTCTTTGCTACTCTCCTAATGTGGAACAACTCAGAATGATTTATGAACCTTGACATTTCTATTATGCTAGTGGCCGTAGTTCAGCACCCAACAAGTTTAACCATCAAAATTCCTCCTCACAGCATGCCAAATTACATATTTGCAGAGGCAATGGCACTTCATATACTCTCTAGGATCATTCTCGAAAACTGAAAACACTTTATCACTTATGTTTCATCCTGGTGTATTAGGACTTTGCTAGCAATGGATCTATGTGCGTTCACTACTGTTATGAGCTAAATACCAAAGACAATAACAAAATTTATATTCAAGCTAAGTTTTTTAATTTTCCTTTATTTTTTTATACACAATACTTTACATTGAAGAGCCTTTATTGCTTACTAGAGTTGGATGCAATCTAATATATATAATATGCATGTGTTACATGGCGTGCTATGACACAATTTAGCTCATGAGGGAGTTGAACAACATCAAAATCATACATTTTATTTAAACTAATTACTAGCTTATTTCTTTTTTTGCCAAATACCATCTGATTTCTTAAAGTAAGTGGAAAGAGACACTTACCTTGGACTGTAGAAGACATGAAACACGCTTTTGGTGGATATTGCATTAGCCACAGGAGAAAGAAGATTTGGATATGAATTCTGTTTAGCAATAACTGAATCAGGAAGACCATTTCTTGGTCGTATAGATCGTCTAATTCCCAACCTTAGCTCTCCATCTTCACCCCTACAATATTGAGAAAAGATAAATTTGAGAATTTCAAATAACTAGGCCATGGGAATGCATGGTAGCTCAGAACTCTAAAACCTCCATTATACTTCAAGTTTCAATAGATATTTATAATTCTCAAGTAGTAGCATAAAATATTTAAATTTATCATGGCTGTACTATTTGAATGATGATTCTATCTTCCTTCTATAAATTTTCCCCTTTTGACCAATTTCTAAGTATCAATAGGGAATTGTGCCCTCCACTCTAGGGGAAAACATAATGAATTAATTAGTTAAAGTCAGAAGTTCATATGCATCTTTCAATTGGTTTAATGATAAAGCAATTCACACCTCAGAAAGAGCACTGCATCCCCAGCAACAAGATTCTTTTGACTCACAAAAATACTCCAGCCCGTAGTAAGGAGATGCCGCCTTGGTTGACCTAAAAATTAATAAATATTAAGCTCCATCATTGTTTCTTTCAATTGAAAACACATTCTAAACACTAGCATCAGAAATGTCAAAATCTCTATCTGAATTACCCCTATATATATGTCGAAACCTCCACTCAACTCCATGCAGGTCTTTGGCAACAAGCTCTTGTGAGGGCCTCGTCTGTTTATAATCCTGAAATTAAGGCAAATACCATTAAATCCACAAGAAATTTCTAGGGTCAATAAGCAGCCTCGTAAATAGTACAGTATAAAATCACACCAGTGGAGGAAAACAGTCTTCAGCAGCTCTACGAGGAACAGAGAACCCTCCATGGGTGCTAGTGTCCGAAGCTGTTAGCGTCTTGCAAAACATATGAGGGGTTGATTTTGTGGGCAATCCACCACCTCCCCCATCCACACCTAGCTCATCCAGCTGCTTGCCCTCCAAATTAGGCCCTCCCAACTGCACAAAATCCCAAATTGAAATCACCAAAACCATAAATTTGGAGTTTCTCTTAGAAGGAAGAGCATGCTGACAGGAATATTCAAGTCACTAAAATTCCAAGAAGTTGCACTGTAAAACCCCACTTCCCTATAAAAACTAATACCAAAATATCGCAATTTTTCTAGAGATTATACAAGTAACAGCACTCAAATGTTCTAAACCAATATAAAGAAGCCATTGCCAATAAAGCTTCAATTAAGAGTTATATACCTCTGGCTCGGGAAGTAAAGTGACCTTCGTATAGACCTCATCATTCTCCTTGTTGGCCTGAAAAAAAAAGGGAGACTTCAATTTAAGAAACCAAATTCAAAGGAAAGGTAAAGTTATAACCTTTACGGGGAAGCGAATTTATAGAAAGAATGCAAAGACAATGCAAAGTAAGAGAAGAAAAATTGAGTACTTACAAGAAGCTGGACATTCACCACTTTGCAAAAGATTTGAGGAGGAAGATCAAAGGTGGGCATTTCCATGGGAGAGAAATGAGAGGTTGAGGCAAATTGTTCCAAGTGACCCTGAGGGAAGTAAACAACAACATTTCCCTTTTTGGGAAGTGAAGTGAGAGGACCAGCACAAGCATGCCAAAGCTCCAAATACATGGAAGAGGAACAAGGAGGTGAAGCTGAGTTTGAAGATGAGGAAGAGGACAAACAGTGAACACAAGCACTGGCTTTGTCACAGTCCCCATTGCAAAGTGCAGTCTTCTCCACCTCATTCACAGCATGGTTCAGATCAATTTCCATTAACACCCTAAGTTTTAGTCTTTATTTTTTTAAAAAAAATTTTCTCCTCAGTGCAAGTACAACCACATAACCAACTAACTTCGCCAGACAAAAAATCAGGAAAATTTAAGAAAAGAGTGGAATGAGAGTAATTAAATAAAAAAAAAAAAAGTTACCCCAGAAACTGAAAACTTGAGAAAAATAGGAAATGAAGTCAAATAATAGATAAAAAAAATTTCATATTCTTTTAAGGGGTATCCACAAAGCTAGAACATGAGAAGAGTGGAAGAGGAAGAACAGAAAACAAGAAAGTCATGTTTTTTTTTTTTTTGAAAGAGAATAACCAAAGCCAGAATGCTTAAGGATAGAAAGAAGGAAGAAAAGGGTGTCAAATAATAACAAGGAATTCAAAGTATGATTCCTTCCCCATTTGGAGGTACTGAGAAGCGGGAGCAGCAGCAGCCGACATAGACAATTGCTTACAGGAAGCAAAGAAACCAAAGGCAAGAAAAGCCAATGTGGTGATGGCTTTTGGCTTTTGGCTTTTGGACTTGGATAGAGAGGCAACTATGTTGGGTGGGGGGACAAGCTAAGACAGTACAGAGCACACACTCCCCCACCCCTACCTCCCTCTCTCTCTCTCTCTCTCTCTCTCTCTTACTTTTTTTTTTTGCCTCTTTTCAATTTCTACCATCTTTTTATTATCATATTTATGAGTTTTATTAGATCTATTTAATTTTTTATTTCACAGGCCTACCACCAAGACAAAACAGGGGATTTCAATCCAATCCAACAAAAACCAACGTCTCTTTTGAACTTTTTTAGCTCATTTTTTTTTTTCTAAATAAAACAATAACTCTAACAACAAAAACAATCCACTGAAGTTTAACTTATAATAACTTACATTCGTCCAATGTTTTTAGCATCTAAAAATGTAATTTCACACACTTTATACTGATTTTAAAAAAATATTTATTTAACATAAATAAAATTCAACTCTTAGTATTTTTTTATTTTAAAGTTGTGATATTTTTATAAAAAAATTGTATTTCACTCCTAAAGAGAAAAATATCATATTAAAATTCAGTTTGGTTGATTAATTTGTTTATCTAAGCACAACATGATTTCTTGTAAAAAAAAAAATTGTACATTTATATATTGAAATTTTACAGTTAACTTGTTAAAAAAAAACAAAAAAGTAAAGTTGTGGACAGCAAATGGTCCAAAAGAATAAAACCAAAATTTAAGGGGCAAAATCTTTTTCAGTTTCTGTTGTTATACAGTTTGGTGGGAGAGCAGACAGACAGCGAAGAGTGGATCACAAATAAAAGGGGAAAGAGGCTTAAAATATAGAAAAGGAAAAAAAGGAGGAGAGTTGTCAATGTAAGAGAAAGAAAGATGGGAGGAGAAGGGTGCTTTTCGCAGCAATTATCGTGGGCGTGTTGTTAAACAAACTCAGTGAGTCAGAGAGGCAGCAGCACCGGCAGCAGTCCACTCTTTTTGTATCTCTAGTCTAATCAAGAGCAGCAGTTTAGATGCTCTTCCACCCCATATCTTTTTCTTTTTGCCGCGCGTGAATTACATTTTTTCCTGTATTTGTTTTTTTAGTTTTAAAACACATTTCAATTTTTAAGTATTTCAAAGTTTTTTTTTAAATATTAATATTTATATTATTTTGAAAATAATAAAATGCTTAAACTATAAAATTATTGAATATAATACTTTTTAACTAAAAATAAATATGAAAATTATCTAATTAGAGATCCAAATGAATTTATCAAATCAAAAATTAGTTATATATATTTATAAAAAAAAAACAAATTAACCATTTGAATTTGTTCAAAGTAGTGATGGTGATGTAAGATTTAAATACCAATATCTGTTGATTCAAGTGATAAAGAGTTTAATTCTTCTTAAGTATGATTTTGATTTTAAGTTTTGTGAATGAAAAAAAATAAATATTGCGAGAGTTTATCCCTCTTATAAAATCTTACCCAACTCAATTTTAAAATAATCAGAGCCTAAAATAGCTACTGTATATCGAGAGTCTCGAACCAAAAAAGATAATAAAATTTAGACATTTATTTTTATTTAAAAAATTTTATTTACACTTAAAAAAAAAATTCTAATTTGTCATCACAATTATAAAAATCACACTAATACTTTTTAGATTATATGCTCGTGTTAATTTTAAAAATACAATTTGCTTCTATTTGATAATAAAATTTGGAAAGATAAATATTTCTAATAAACAAGTAGAAAATGTGGCATGTCAATTGTAACATAAATTTTTTGGCCCATTTTTTTATATTTTATATGGAAATACTAATTTTTAGGTTATTTTATACACCATTCATAAAATTTTTAAATTTTGTGAGAGAAATTAAAAATATTATCCTACGTTTTATTATTTATTATATTCACTTATAATTTTTATTAAATATATTTTAATGAGATGTGTAATATTTTTTAATCTTTTTTAAATTTCATCGATCAATATTAGACATACAAAAGAGAACAAGGGATGTGTAACTGCAAGCCAGAATGAGCGAGTAAGAGAGGACATGATTTTTGCAGAAAAAAGCGATGCCATTGGATGGCCTGCGCCTTTGGCGCTGCTTCATTGCCCCACCAAATACATTCCTCTCTCTCTCACTCCTCGGTTTTCCCGACCCAATCCACCCTTCCATTCCCACTTTATTTACTAATTCATGCCATGAAAGGACGCCATATAAATTATTATTTTTTGTTAATTGATTAATCTATTCATATTATTTAATAAATATGTGTCCGTCTTTTAACTAATTTATGAAGTTTTTGAAAGAAAAATGGGAAATGGGTATTTCAAATCTAATATATATATTATATTATAATATATATGGTCACATGATTAAAATTATTTATGTAGATATTTAAATAGATAATTTTTTTTAATAACACATAAGATAATATTTATATTATTTTATTTATTAAATAAATTTTTTTAATAAACTATTTAAATTGAATATTTTGGATAATTATTTAAATTGAAATCAATACCTATCTAAAATTAAAATTTTTGCATAAGATTTAAATTCAAATATATTAAATCATAATTTATCTTTTCTTTTTAAATTTAATGATAGTTTCAAATATATATACTTAATAAAAATTTTTTTTCTATCAAATAATTCTATTTAATGAATTATTTAAATTTAATATTTTTAGATAATTATTTAAATTCAAATCAAAATCTATTAAAAATTGAAAATTATTTAATAGAAAATTTAATACTTTTAGATAAGATAATAAATTATTGACTAAAAAACATGTATTTTTAAAGTAATAAAAGCTTCATCTTTATATGAAAATATGAGACATTTGAATGTTAATAAAAAAGTTAGATAAAAATATATTTTTATTTTGTGTTAATTTATTAACATATTTACTTTTAATACTGTATAAATTTATCTGGACAAATTAATATGTGAATTTATATTCTTTATTTCCTTTTGCTATGTTTTTTATTATTGAATTTCTTTGTCTACAATAGATAATAAGAGAAAAATGATAATCACTATCATATCTATCTCACAAAAAATACTATCAATTATGTTAAAAATGATTCAAAATAGAAAAAAATTTTCAAAAATTTTTTTTAAGCATAACATAAAGAATTATTGTTTCCCTTTTTATCTAAAAAATTATTTTGTTGACATATATAGAAATAATTGTTAGCCCAATATATTTGTGTAATAATTACTTGAAATATATCAAAAATAAGAACTAATGAAAAGAAAATTTATTATAACAAAAATAATAAATGTGATTTGTTGTTAAATCAAATATATATATATATACACACACCACCTAATTAATATTATGATAAAAATAATTATTAATTTTAACTATTTAAATATTGATTCTTGATTTTTTATCAAACAAGAAAAAAACGATAGTAAAATTTTTAGTATTTACAAATAAATTGAAGAAAATATTGTCATTTAATTATAACTTAACATTTATAAATATAGGATTATATATTAAATAAATAATTAAAAAATAAATTTAAAATTATGAAATATTTAATAAAAATTCCGTACACTGTACGGATTAAAAATGCTAGTTTTAATTATATTTGGCTTTGCCTTTGCTCTATAACACTTTAACAGAATTATGCTATGTCAGCAATGTAGTATTTTATAATCCAGTTATTAAAATAAAAATTATCTAAAATTGAATTATTCTTAATGTATTTTACTTTTAATTTTATGGACAACATATCAAAACGTGCATGCGTAAAAAAAATTTTCATTCTTTAATTTTAGAGAGACAACGTAACAAATTAATTTTTAAAATTATATGTATAAATATATATATATATGCTTGTAAATATAATACTATATGATGTATTTTTTAATGAAATGACTGAAAAAAGCTTATTTTTCATATAAAATCTAATTAAAATTGTTTATAAACAATTTCTTTCAAATTTAGTATTAAACGTCGAAGAAGTAGAAATATAAATAATTGAAGAATTAGAGGTATAAAATAAAAAAAAAACCTTAAATTTTCTAAAAATACTAATTTAAAATTTTGAAAGCATATTTTTGAAATGTCATAGAAGTGCTTAATTGCGAAATCAATTCTTCATTATAGCTATTGAATAAAGCTTTCTTTGATAAATGCCTTTACTTTTTTTATATATTTATTAAAATTACGTGAAATTTATTAAAGTTTTATATGAAATTCATATTTATACGTGATAAATTTTTATATAATTTTTTTATTATAAAAATTATAATTAAAATGCTGAAAAACAAAAAAGCCAACCTAACATTTGTATTTCAAACACTGCTATATGAATCCAATAGTGACAGTATGAGACAGAAGTAGAAAGGAAAAATTAAATAAAGAAAGGTAAAAAAGAGAGGCCCTCGAGACTCATGCCGGTTACCTTTGTGTTTGCTTCTACTGAAAAACCAGCGCTTGACAAAACACAAGACAGAACCTTTTTTGCTTTTAAATTTTTTTTTATTTCTTTTAAAAATCATTGGTAACATCAAATATAAAATTGTCTCGTGGATTGTTTGATTGCTGTTTCAAAGAGCCCGGATCCGTCGTACCCTTTACCATCTGTCTATTTCACTCTGTAAACCCAACGTGTTTCTTACAATGACATTACAATCCCGTGCACTATTGTTTGCTGCTTCACGTACGCATAAAGCCAAGTTTTAGAGTAAAAACAAATGCTTTTTACCCTTTGCTTTTAATTGAAAAATAAAACCCTACTTTTTGTTTTCATTAAAATAATGATATAAAAATATTAGAATTTAATTTAATTATTTCATATAATTATTTTAGTATTGCTAATTTGATATTGGTATGTAAAAAAGCTTGGATTGAGAAATTTTCATTCAAAAAGTACGGTGAAAAAATATGATTAAAATTTTAAATTTTTTATATTATTATGAATATATTCCATGATTAATTAAAATCTAAAATGATATGTATAGAATAATAAAATATTAAAAATATTAGGATAATATAGTGATTTTTTTATAAATATATTTTTTATTGCAAAAAATCTCTTGAGGAAATTTTGATTTGAGATTGAAAACAATACTTTTAAATTGAAAAATCATATTTTTGTTGTTTAAATATTGAGGTT